CCCCCGGTCGGCGAACGCACCTACACGAAAAGATAAATCGCTCTCCCAAAAACCCCATTTAATTCCCGACCGTAACATAAGCAAGCCATGTTCCAATTAGCACAAACGTTTCATGCTCTCAACAAGGCAGTAGTCTTATTGCAAGGGGTATATAACCAAGGGCCTCCACAAATTTCTCCTACCCAAAGATCTTTCCCATATATTAATTCTTTTCAAACATTAGATGGACAAATGCTTGAATTTAATTACAAATCTAAACTTCATGGCTTAGTATTTAATGTTGAAAGGAGTAATGATTACAGCTGTACACTTCCAAAGGATTTACTTGTGAAGTTTGCACAGGATTATGGAGTTAATGCACATGAGGCTTGTGCAGAGATGGGTATTGCACCCCAGTTATTTGGTTGTTATAGTGTTTCAGGAGGATGGAAGGTAGTTGTCATGGAGTACATGAAAGATGATTATTCCAACTTGGCAGAAGAATATTATGAACCATCTTGTGTGGATGAAATCAAGAAGTCTGTAAAAGAAAAAGTTGAAAAAATGCATGCAAAGGGTTTTGTACATGGTGACTTAAGACAAGTCAATATTCTTAGGCAAAAACATAATGGAAATATTGTACTTGTTGATTTTGATTGGGCTGGTAGAATTCATGAAGCTAAATACCCTTTATATATGAACCCTAATCTTCCTCGCCATCCTGATGCAACATATTTAGGAGAAATTACTACAGGGATGGTAGAACATCTTTTTCCAAAAACAAAGGCTTTCACACAATAGAAATAATGTTGTTAGTTGTCTCTTTTATAATTCAGTTCTCGTTTGACAGTGAATAAAGTTCACCTCTTGTATTGTATTGCGGTAATTATGATAGTGAAATGTTTTTGTCATAAACTGATGCTGTGTAATATGCATGAAAACAATGAAATTTATATATAGGATTACCCGTATATGAAAAATAGCGAATATAGTGGTTCAACCGAATATGAAAAGGCGATCCGTTTTTTGAGACAGGTTGTTTGTTCGAAAAAGATTCCAAGAGAAAGGTTTGCCGAGTTACGTGAGGCGTTTCAAGCTCTCTAGATCTGAACAAGATATATTTTTAATGGCCCAGTTGAAAGCAATGAATGGAGGAGAAATAACTGCCAGTCGACGTCTTAAAAAGAAAACGCGTACGAATAAGAGAACTTTTTATTATTGAGATCGCAATACGCCGCTTTGTCAGAAAACGTATCTTAATATGTTAGGAATTGGCCGCACGCACTTCGAAAACGTCAGACATCACTTAGCGACGAATGGTATAATACCGCGTGTTCATGGTAATGTAAAAAAAGTGCCGCGATGGAAAACTAAAATAACCATTGATATAACCGTTGCTACCGCTGTAAAGAATTTTCTCGAAAACTATGCGGAAATTCATGGACTACCAAGTCCTGGTAGAAATGTCAATCGCGTTACACAATTGCTTACACTTCTGCCAGCCGAAACGAGTTACAAGTCGGTCTATCGTGATTTTATTGCAGGCCTCGAAAACGATAGCACATTGAAATTGTTAAAATACGATGCGTTCCGTAAGTTATGACATCAATTAACGCCTTATATTCAAATTATGAGTCCACGAACGGATTATGCGACACGTGCCAACATTTTCGGAACGGCTTACGATACAATGCTCGCAAGGAAGAAGAAGCGAAAGATTTATTGAAAAAATTCAAAGAACACCTAGTTAAAGCTAAGTTAGAGAGAAACTATTACAACAAAAATACAAAATTAGCAGAACAACAAAGAAAATTAGTCGATGAGCAGTTTATAATAAGAGGTAAAGCTGATTATTGTAGCGTTGATGCTACTGCTCATTACAGTTACGATTGAGCACAAAATGTTCACGTTCCACATTCAGATCAACAGGTAAGTAAGATTTATTATCTCAGTCCGCGTAAAGTGCATTTATTTGGCATTCAAGATGAAGCAGTACGCGAACAAATTAATTACGTTCTCGATGAAGACGAAATTATCGGCAAGGGCCCTAATGGTACGCTGAGCATGGTATTCGATGGGATTAAGAGATTGAATAAGGGCGAAAAAAATTTAAAAATTACTTGTGACAACGCAGGCGGACAGAATAAAAATAACGCCACCATTTGATTTTACCTATATTTAATAATTTACGGTTATTATGAAAGTATTGAATTAAATTTCATGATACCTGGACATACTAAATTCAAGTGTGACGGTAGTTTTGGATTGGTTAAGAAACTATACCGCAAAACAACGGTAAATTGTGTGAACGATATTGTTGAAGTTGTGAAAAAATCGAGTACAACCGGATTAAACAAGGCTCAGCGTCATGACAACGGAAAAGCCTTTCAATATTTAGATCTCAATTCTGTGTTGGGAATTTTCTTTAAGAAATTGAGTGGTTTACAAAAATATCAGCATTTTGTTTTTGAAGCAACTAATCCTGGAATTGTCAAAGTGCAAATGGTTGCTAATAGTGCTTTTACTGAATTTAATTTGTTAAAAACTAGAAAGGCAAGTGTTTCTGAAATTACCAAAGAAATTAAATCCTTTTCTATCCTGGTACTGACTCCTCCTCCTTTGGATTATAAAAGGCAAGAATTCTTTACCATAATATTCGCCCATTTGTTAGAGACGAATTCAAAGATATTACTTGTCCAAGACCAACATATATTGGCAATGAATAAAATATTTAGACTGAAATTCTCCATCATACATTAATCTCCTCACTACATTAAATTCTTCTCACTTTTAATTTTCAAAGCTTAAATAAAAAGAAATATTAAAATAATTATATACTTAATATAGCAATATGAGTATATTAAATAAAGTAATGGTAAGAAAACGAAAATTTAAAACAACAATTAGTTGAATTAGCAAACAAAGAACAAGATTTAAACTTAAGAATTTATAATGAAGTTGAAAATGTTAAAGAGGGTGAAAGTCCAGAAATTGCTGGCACTTTAATGACCTTAGAACAACATTTTTTACCCAAAAATGTTAATGAACTCACTTTGGAAAACTTTGTTAAGGGTTGCACTGAATGAGCCTGAAATAATTGTGAATCTGCTAGTTATATTTTTGAAAAGAATAAAGAACTTGAAGAAAGGAATGCTATTTTAGAACCAAGGGTTGCTGAATTAGAAGCCAAGCAAAAAGAGTTAGAAACTAAGCAAAAG